GTCGCTGGTCATGACGACAAAAAACATTTTCCTTGATCGAGGCGCGATTACACGAAGCAATTTTCTCTGCAACTTGTGTTGYATGGGGCATTGCAGCGTGTAACCTACAGCGCARAMATTAAAAAATGTTACGAGAACGATTGCAGCAATCGTTGCGAAAAGTAGAATTCGTTTCTACTTTTGGCAACGATTGCGTCTCCGTTGCACCGTGTAGATACTTTTGCAATTTATGTCGCAATGCTTGCGAGACATGTTGCAGAGAAAATTGCTCCGTGTAATCRCATCTTTATTCTCCTCTCTTCTCACATGCTACATACCCCAAAAGGACAAAATCTGCTGATGGTTGAGGTCGTTTGCTCTTTAATTTTCGCTTGATTAAAGCAGCTAGCTTTGCTTTTGTGGAACAATATTCGTATGACTTCRCATATTATAGTGATGTATACCGAAGTAGAACAAGCATAATCTGATTCATTTCTTCTCAGTTTTCTCGAAATCAGCCAATAGCCGTTGATGACTGACAATAAATTCAAGAGGGTGGATTAGGTTGCTRTAAAATCTGAAGACCAAGCTACAAACTAGCGTTTGGCTTCTCCGTYGACGGTGGGAGGGGGGGTGAGGGGAGGTGGTAGCTATAAACTTGCTTTCTAGGCACCCACTTAAAATCAGACACTCTGAATTGCTTATAGTCTCCTAAGCAACGCTCACTCCCCTTGCTTACTGATGTCGACTTATTGAAATGATGAGTTGTTCGGTTGTGTCTATTTGTCTTTGCGCTCAGATTGATCACGCACATTTCCTGCTTTTTATAGTTTGGATTCGGTTTTGGCGTTCAGAGCAATACTTAGATCAGATTCAACTTGATTTAAATAGGTTACTCGATGAAGATTTCATTTCAAAACCTCAAGGTAAGAAAAAAATTTTTTTTTTCTTCTTTCTTTTCAGGTGCTATCTTTTCTGTTGTTTCCACGAGCCTTTCTTTATATATCCTAGACATAGATAAATAGTTCGATATTGGTAATATTATTTCAACTGGCTAGCTAAATTGCGTAACATAAAACCGTTTACATTATTTTTAAAAAAAAAGATAGTTGGATAAAGATTTGTCACAAGAGTCGATCATTGCTATATTACATTCTAATTACTATTATATTCTATTTACTATTTGTTACTATTTTTTATTTATTTTTATTTTTGTTTAATTTTTTTATTTTCGTGATCTGTGATGAGAAAACTAAATCTTTTTTTCGTTATTATATTCGTGATTTTAGCCTTTCCTAATCTATTCTTGAATCGTGAAAAAARGCAATTTCTGTGAACCGTGATCGGTCTTTCTTAATGTCGTATACGTGTAATGTGTGTTTAGATCCCCACTTATACCTACCCCGTGCTAATAAGGCTTCAGGATAGCTGGTTGGGGGGTAAATGATTGTTAAACCACGCTTCTGCAAAAAAAAGGGGCATGGTATGCTCTTCTAACACGTCGTCTTTCACCACTGTGGTTCCAAAGGTTCGGGTCACTCAGTGGATCGAGCACTGCGGACAACATATGTGAGTTGAATTTGTTTGATGTCTTCTCTCCTATGCTACGAGGGTTTTCTCCGGGTTCCGTAATAAAAAAAATAATTTAACACAGAATTCATAATGTTAAAGAAACTTATTTACACTATGAAGCTGTGAGTTTATTTTTTCTTTTTTTCTTTTTCTAAATTCATAATGTCACTGAAGCTGTGGATTCCTCCYAGCCCTAACAATCAACTTGTCAGTAGAGTGTTGTGTGTGCAAAGATTTGAAGATGTGTGGTTGTTACCTTATTGTGAAATAGTGACAATTAATACCCAGCATTAATTATAATGATGATAATCAATGTGCTTAGCTAAAAGCTACTTTACAGTCACGCCACAAAAATTGAACATTTCAACACGTCTTTGATTTCCTGTCGAGAGCAACCGAAATAAAATAAATACGCGTGAGTGCATTTTGTTATTCACAAATTTAGTTTCACGCCAAAAAATTGCACGACACGAAGTTAATTTATACATACCACTTTAAATGCAATGATACTGACTAAAGTTTAATTATTTYTTATGTAAAATTTAGTCAAAAAAATGTCTTCCGTCTAGAAAATCCCCTTCGGATTAACATGCTTTTTTTTTTTTTTTGGCTTCCTTTTTCTGTGATCTGATTGCTCAAATTCTATGTTTTCTGGAATTTCGTTGGCACGTCAAAAAATTGCGATTTAAAACTCAAAATATAGTGCGATTYGTGATAAAATTACCAGTGATTTCAAAATGGATAGAAGTAATACCRGTACCCAATATTTATTTTGCTATTTTGGACCGTTCCTTAGACCTTTCCCCTTATGTGAGCAGCGATCGACATTTTGATTCGTGTGTATCTTATTGTTTGCAGTATTGTGGGTATTTTTCCCAAGGAAGACAGCGAAAACTAGCCATCAACTTAGCTCTGCTTTTCTTCTTGTCAACCCATCTCATGTTTCACCTCTATAAGGGTAAGTACGGTTCTAAGTCAGATGTTGTTCAACCAAGTCCGCTGTATTGCTTGATATCAGTTTATATTACTRGCCTTATTCTAAAGCTACCCTTCTAAGTATTCCCTCTATTCATTGCTATAAATTCTGTGTGTATGGTAAAGCGACTACCGTCTAYCCAAATAATACTAATACTAAAAAGAAAAAGAAAATCTGAAAGATTGGACTATAAATAGACCTATGCTTGTGCATTGCCAGTCAGAATGCATGCAGTCAAAAAGACGCCATATAATTAATTAAGTGTCGGCCCCTTAAATAGTACCATGATGCAACGCGTTCTGCAACTCCAGAAAAGCTCATAGTAACTTTACCTAATCCTCTACTAGCCTATCCCGTATGTCGCTTTGATATTAGACGCATTATGAGAATGGATGACAGTGCTAGTGTGATTGAGGAAGYATGCAGAAATGCATCCAAGAGACCTGTTGTTGGATGCATGACAAACAGCAGAAAACCAATCTATAAAGATGATGTTAGGGTATTGGGGAAGCGCTTGAAGAGTAAAGGTGGGTTTCTAATTTTCAAAAAGAAAAAAAGTTATGAAATATATTATGAAATCTGCATAGATCCTTTGCACGTATCTTATCATTCGTAACTGTTAATCAATGAAAGGATTCTCTAGGTAATTGCTGAGTTTTAAGCAGCTGCTAAAATTTTTGAATCTCATTATCTGCTCCCGGCAAAATAATGGTCAAACACTGACCACTATATGYTGTCAGTCACAAAGAATTCAATTGAAAACTTGTGATTTGTGCCCCGTCCACACTATGCCGAATAAATTTGAATCCGAATTTATATTCATTCGGTTAGGCCTACCGTCCACACTAGTCCGGGCGAATCCGGAACAATTCTTCACCGAAAACGATTTTTTTCAATTACGATCTCCAAAGTGGAACGATTTGAAAACGCCGGCTAGCCGTATTAGTGTGGACGGAGAACATTTCGTATCCGAATTTTTTCGAATACGATGACGTCATGATTGTCATGGGAACATGGCGGGAAGGCTAAAAATTCACCTCCGGTTCAATTTTAGCTTCGATGCACATGCTCAGATGTGCAATGAAGCGTTTTTGCCGCCTCTGATCGGACTAGTGCTGGACTAGTGTGGACGCGAAACATTTTATCCGTTTTCATGTGTGGACGGAAAACTTTTTTTTCGGTTTCGGTGTGAAAGTTGCGGATTCAAATTTATCCGGCATAGTGTGGACGGGACCTAAGTTGATGAAGAACATTCTTCACGAGACAGGAAATGATGTCAAGTGAAACCCAGTAATTAATGACACGTGGTCTGAAATGAAAAAAAAAACATAGGTCCAAGTTAAAGCCCGGGGGGGGGGGGGGGGGGGGGGGGGGGGGGGGGGAAGGGTACTCCCCTATATTTGCTATACGGGTATGTGCCGCCCTATAGGGTATGCTTTTTCGGCTTTTGGGTCTGGGGTAGGGTATCATTTTTGACATTTTGTCTGGGATAGGGTATCATTTTAGTCTGGGATAGGGTTAACGATTTGGTCATTTTTGTCTGGCGAATAGGCTACGCTTTCTGTCGGCACAAAAACAATAAAAACGTTAGTAAATATTGATTGCAATCTGTTGAAAAACCGTCTTTTCCATCTTTTAGTCTGGGATAGGGTGTAMAATTCTYAGTTTTAGTCTGGGGTAGGGTATATAAAATCAAAATTTTAGGTCTGGGATAGGGTCAGGGTTTTGAGGTCCTGGCGGCACACCCCTACCCAAGTTGGGGTGGTAGTACCCCCCCCCCCCCCCGGGAGTTAAAGGGACATACTTATTCACTAGTGTATCTTAAGAAGAACTCTTTTTCTTTGATTAGTTTTTCTAACACTTGGCATTCCAACAATACAACGAAAGCACAACAACAAGACTTGGTCATACCTCGAAGGTACTCTCAACTCGCTCATCGAAAACCTGGCGCCCGACCAAATGAATCAAATACACGTTGTTGTCTTTCTCGCGGATCTCGATGAAAAAGCACGCCATGAAAAACGCAAGACGATATCAAGCAAATTCCAGAAATACATCGATAGTAGTTTGATCAGTGTTGTACAGGCGCCAAAGGAATTCTACCCTAAGCTGAGAGGCCTACCCCGAACGTATGGGGACCCCCCTGATCAAGTGTTCTGGCGGTCAAAGCAGAACATGGATTATTCATTCCTCTTCAACTATTGCGAGGATCTCTCAGAATACTACATGCAGATGGAGGATGACGTTATGACGGTGAAAAACTACCTCGGTGTTATCCAGGACTGCATTAGGCAACACAACACCACCAGATGGACCTACCTAAGGATAGTCAATTGGGGCTTCGTCGGGAAGCTCTTCAGAAACGCTGAACTCGATTATTTTGCTCGTGTTCTGAGAATGTTCTACAATGATAAGCCGTGCGATTGGTTGATATTAGATTTCAATCATTGGAGAGGTTTTGGCGGCTCCTCTGGCAATCCCCCATGCGGGAACATCTTCTTTCATAAGGGTCAAAAGTCGTCTCTGTCACGTTTTCAGCGTCCTTCTTTCTAGAGGGATGTTTCCAAGACAACCGGTTATTGCCAGCTTACATTCATTAGTCACTATCTTTTATATAATTGGACTACCTTATTTGAAAATTGTAAACATTATGATTTTGCCAAATTTGTGGTGTTCAATACTGACTGCCGATGTATGGGATTCCGATTGGAACTTTGAAAAAACTAATAAAATAAATAGAAAAACATTCATGGGGGAAAAAAAAAATTATATAAACGCTTTTACCAATAATCGCAACTACAAACAATTCTAATTATGTAGGCATTCAGCAAGAAGTTCTACGTATCTTGCCATTCTGATTGTGGCCTTTGCTCTCCTCTCTTTCTTCTTTTCAGTTTTGTCTTTTTATCTAGTGTTGGTTTGCTTGCTTTGTTTTTCTTCTTCTTCTTCTTCTTCTCCTCCTCGAAACTTTCTTCCTGAGTGAAAGGTCGGTCTTAAATCCAACAGGCCGGAGTTGCCAGTGGTTGCCACGTTACGTTTCCTTGATTTAGTGAATGCTCTTTACACAAACAAGACCAATTAATATTTAGATTTGATTCTATGGGGGGAAAAATCAAAATCTTTTATCTTAATTTTAATTTTTAATTTTGGATCGAGAGCTAGAGAGCCTTTTTGTTCACTTTTAGGTGTACTATCAGTATCAGGTGATCTTTTGCTGTCAAAGCGTAATGCTCATGCTAAAAGTAATAAATATTCACCCACTCCTCCCCACAAAGTAATAACTTGTCTCCAGTGTACGTCCACGCTTAATGTATTCATATTCACATGTGTTTGTATGAGTTTCGACGTGGCTTCCATTATTAGTTCGTCTTGTTGTTTTTTTCTTTTAAAATTGGTAACCTWTAGACTGAAAACGGAACTAAAGATTTCTCGTAAACTTGACAGAATGCAAAAACTAACAAACGTCTTRAAGGTAAGAGCTTCGCGCGCGACAGAACTTAGAAACAGAGAGACCGCAAAGCGAGGATCTAAAAGCTATACTTTGTATTTTGAAATATACTTTGCTCATTTTAAATTCGTTAATAATTCAAATTGTCAGTCAACTACCGCTTATTCAAGCAAGATTCTATTTTAACTTTAAAATTTTTATGGAGGAGAAAACCTAGAATTAAGACTGCGTTTGGACTGTACCGCGGGACGAGGCTTTAACCAGTCAAAACGTTGCTCGCTTAGAGGTTCCCTTTACACGGGACTGAGCTATCCGAACAAAAATTCGTAAGCCTAGCTGTGTAAATTTGGATTCCGTGTATAAACCAGAGCGTATTATTAATTAAATGCAATAAAAGAGACGGTAAGGTGTAAACACAACCTAAGGCGCACATCGCATGATTACTTGAGTGCGATGCCTGTTCTCGAGAATATCTATTGAAAATTTGCTTTCTCCGAATATTGGCGCGAAATTATACTCCTCTAATGTAAACAAATTCATGGGGGAGGGGGGACACATTTGATTGAAGCCCCAAAACAACCTTTACCGGAGCTGATTAACTCACAGATCAAAAAAGAATTTAGCTCTTCAGGTTTGTTAAGGGAAAGGGTGGATTTAAACTGGAGAACCTGGAGAGAAACCCTTGAATTAAGGGAGAGATCGACTTGACAAATACTACTGACTCACTA